TACGTATATGCATATAGATGTATGCAATTAAATATTAGTTCTTTGTAGACACGAGGTGCCATAGGTGGTATAGGGCGTGTATGTCTCGTGGTGTATCTCTATGTATGGGGTGTATGTAGGCGAGTGTAAATAGTGTTGCGCGTATTTGCTATCCACAGTTGTAAAACTCGAAGTATATATAATTTGTATACATATATATACACTCTCACACATACACACAGTTACATGAATGCACACGCACAGGAACATGTTCACCAGTCTCCACGCACGTTCTCGCACTTTTTACTTCATTGGTGCAGAGGTCAACGTTGCACCTGCGACAACTGGTACAAACGCCCAGTTTCGAGGACTGAGTGGCGAACAATAACGCACATTCAGAGACACACACTTGGATATATGCACACACACAGCTACATACATACATCACACAGGCGAAGATGCATTACTATTTACACAAGTACTCGCACTAAGAGTATATCATATTATATATCCATCGAGGCAGCGGTTGAAACTGTACCTGCTACAGTTGGTGCAAGTACTCGCACTAAGAGCATATTCATATTATATATCCATCGAGGCAGCGGTTGAAGCTGTACCTGCTACAGTTGGTGCAAGCGCTCAAGCACGAGAACTGGGTGGTGGACACAGATGCGGACAGTCGAGAGAGCGAATTGGCCGCGTTTCTCATCTCTCGCTCAGTACAGAACTTCACTCTGGGCAACCGCTTCTATTGGTAAGTGGCCATACGCATGGCACGAAAGTCGTTGACTAATCAACACTGTGGCTACCTGTTAGCTCTACCTGTAAGCTCTACCTGTGAGTCATACCCGTGAACTCTACCTGTAAGCTCTACCTGTAAGCTCTACTTGTTAGCTCTTCCTGTAAGCTCCGCTCTACCTGTAAATTAAACTTGTAAGCTCTACCTGTAAGCTCTACCTGTAAGCTCTACCTGTAAGCTCTATCTGTAAGTGTCACCTGTAAGCTCTATCTGTAAGTGTCACCTGTAAGCTCTACCTGTGAGCTCTACCTGTGAGCTCTACCTGTGAGCCTTCATGCGCGTTTGTGTACTCTACATAACAACTACGCCTAGAAATAGTTAGAACCCACTTATCCTCGTGCATGCGAGAGGTGTCTATAACACACACCACTTGTTGCACAGTACCGACATTGTGAAGCTCAATGCACGCCTACAAACTCTAACTACTCGAAAGCCCCTCATTCCGAATCGCCATGCCTTGTACGGGTGTACCTGAGCAGGGTCTTGTCGTAGGTGAGATTACATTGTCGTATACGAGCGTGCTCGGTGTAGTACTCGGTCGTACAAATTGTCGTATAGGTGCGTGCACTTGTGGCTGCATGAAAGGATTTGCAGGCTACCCTGGGATTGTGCATGTGCCATTTTATAACTCACACATACAAGCAATGGGCCATGACCACAACTCAAGCAAGCATACAGACATACAGACACGCATCAGCCTACAAATACATAACTCACCCATGCAGGCAACGAGCCATGCCCACAACTCATGCAAGCATGCAGACATACAGACACGCATCAGCCTACTAATATATAACTCACCCATGCAGGCAACGAGCCATGCCCACAACTCATGCAAGCATACAGTCACGTGTACGTCTACCAAACTAAGCAAAGTGCTCCCCACCCACAACCAACACCCAACATGTGCAGGTATCTTACGGTCGAAATGAATGACGACAACATCGCCAACAAGGAACACACGCAGATGTACACTGCTGTGCGGCAGGCGTTCACCACAGAGCTGGAGAAGGTGTGTGCACAAAACATTGTGTGTTGGTCTTTGTATGTTGTTTGATTGTGTTAATTAGACTCAATACCAATCTATTTATTATCAGATTTGTTCTGCGGTGTATTTGGTTGAATTAAGCGGGGATGAAGCCAATGCTCAGTCGTTGAGTTAAAAATAGGTTGGTTTATAAATAGTTTGGGTTACGATTAGATTCATCTTTCACCCTATGATACGAGGCGAAAAAGACATTTATTCATAGACATGTGCTTGAGTGGTGATTTATGCTGAGCATAGGCAATGGTGATGTAAGGATAATGCATCAATTCCTGCCCATGCCATCTCCTATCTTCACAAAAAGGGTTCATAAAAATAATACTACCTCTGAATAAGCAGGATAATACTACCTGTGAATCAGCTAAGAGAATTCGCCTTCAACAAAACGTTGGTATAAATAGCTCGTACGCGCTTGTTAAATGACCAATAAGACAGCGATCTATGATTAGCATTGAGCTCACCTTCACACAACAGACACCAGGCAGCACAGGTATGACACTGTACGTGCGCCTGTAGAACGTATTTGTCAAACGCTCGAATCCTACTCCAGGGTGCCAAATTAGGCAACAATCCATTAATAGAATTGTGTTCATTTCAACTCACTAACAGACACCAGGCAGCGCCGAGATGAAACAGTACATCCGCCGCCAAGAAGACATTGTCACTAAGATACAAGCGGTGGGCCAAGAAATGATCAGAGGCAAAGACTCCCGCCCCAAGAAGGTGTGCATGCATAT